GATTATTTGTAACGGATGAGATATTCGTAAGTATTCGTAAATATCCGCAAATATCTGTTTATTTTCCGGATATCCGTTTTTCCGGATATCCGTATTTTTCCGAAGCAAAGCAAATACCAAAATCAGATATCCGTAACATACGAAGCAAATCACAAATACCTTCGAAAACCCGGATATTCGATCCGTGCCCACCCCTAGTGAAGATTCAGATCCCAATCTATAGAGATGTGAGGCTTTTTTCTGATTGGTTGGATTTTTAAGAAAGAAATCAAATGTCCTTTTCATTTCCGGATTTAGCCGCGTGTGCGCGTCAAACCAATGTGCCAGCTGTTTTACCTTTTATTTGTTGTTGAAAAAAGTTATAAATCTGGGTCAAACTTAATGATTCTTTCCAAAACTTAAATAATATTTAGTCTTACCCATGTCTTGCCTCAGGGATAATTATATTATTACAAATTCAAGTGAGGAGATCATATACAAATACTTTAAATACTACTCCCTTTTTCTTAATAGATTATGTTTTAAAGAATTTTTTTGTTTCATATTTGATGAAGTTTTCAATAATCAGTGTGAACTTTATTAACTTTAATGTTATAGGACCATTTGTATTATGCAATCTATTTTTATTGGTCTAATTATATTTATATGAAAAAATAATTATGTTTTTCTTTTTAAAATATATAAAATTAAATATTTTATTAATCAATATATACAAACTTAAAACGGCATCTATTTAAAACAGTGCAAATATTATACCCGTAAGAACTACACATTTCTTAAACTCGATAAAGTTTAGAATATGAACAGTTTACATTTGTATGATTTGATAATATGATGGAATGAATGAGTTCACAATAACCCAACATATTTTAATCAGTGATATTAATTTCTAAGAGCTTTTAAAATTTTGACATCTAAAACAATTAACATGATGTTTTAGTATATTGTTATTAACTATTTTTAATTATATTTGTAAAAGAACCATTTAACATCAAGTTTTATTAGAATAAATTTAAATGAAAATCTTGATATTTTAATTTAATAACAATAAATATTTAACATATGTAATAGTTAGTTGTATTAATGTCTTTTATTTTATTTTATTTTTGAGAGAGAATAGTTTTGAATACTGATTTTGTTTGTTTTTAAAATAATCATTATGATGATTATCAGATTTTATTTTTATTTTTATTTTTATTTATTTTTGAGAAAGGTCAGATTTAATTTACTTACTAGATTTTGACCCGCGCTTCCAAAATACGAATTTTCTTATTATAAATTTGGATATGAATTATTATTTTAGAATTACTGTACATTATTATTTCACAAAGTCTTATTATATCAGAAATAAGAATTTTTTATATAATTTATGAATTAATTTATTTGAGATTTTGTATGTACACTCTTATTTAACTCTCTCTTAGGTCTGAGCTTTTTACCAAACCAAACAAAAACTAAGAGCATCCACATCAATGAACCCCCTCTTGGGGTTCATTGAAATAATTTTTTATTATTAAAATTTTTCTATTTTCTTTTTAATTTTTTTTTTTAAAGAAAAGAAAAAAAAATTCTAAACCAATCCCGGACCGCCACGTGTTGAACCTCAGGAGAGAGGGGTTCACCCGAGAGAACTTTAGGAGAGAGGGGTTCATAGGATTTTGTTATTTTATTATTTTATTTTTTTTGGTTTCCGTGTGAACCCCCCATTTGAACTCTCAATGAGGGTGCTCTAACCAACCCAAAAGTAAAGTAAAGTTCAGATCCGGTCCAGAATTACCTATTGAGTATTATTTAGACTTATGTATCTCTGTTTGAATCCGGGTCCTACCGGCCGAGACCAAATCGAGGACCCAAAGTACTTGAATTTTTGTATGTATATAAGTTATTAAAGATACGTTTTCGGTATTACGGATATTTTGTAAGTTTAAAATTTTGATTTTTGGTTATAGTTTTGGTTTCCGTTAAAATTTCAATTTCTTTAAAATTCTATTTTGGGTATTTTCCATTTCTTCGGGTCAGATTCAGGTAAAATTTCGAGACTTTGGGGTATTTAAATATTATTGGGTATTTTTTGAATTTTTAGGCTTTTTTATGGTTCATGTATTTTCAGGTTTTCAGGTATTTCAAACCTTTTAAGGTTCTAAATGTCGATCTGGATCCATTACGGTCCAAAATAATTACAGTTATTTGAATTATTGACCTAAATCCACCTGAACCCGAAAGGAACCTATCTGAATCCAAACTTAAAAATTTCAAATCCTCAGTTAGCTCCAAATGTCTAAGATTAAAGGAACGGATCCAAAAGCAACAATTTGGTATCCAGCTTGGAGACCCGAGGACCATGCTTATTCTCTCATTATATATTGTGTGCATTTTATAAGAGTTACATTTAAAGACTTTGTGAGACTTAAGATTTCCTTTTCAACTTTTTTGGCTAATTTAACAATATAAATTTATAGGGTTTTTAATAATTTTAAAAATTATATTAAATAATAAAGGTTATAATAAGTTATATTAAATAATAAGGTTTTAAAATTATATTAAATAACAATAATTTTTTTTGTATAATTTGTGAATTAATTTATTTGAGATTTTGTATGTACACTCTTATTTAACTCTCTCTTAGTTCTGAGCTTTTAACCAGAGCAAAAAAACTAACCAACCCAAAAGTAAAGTTTAGGTTCGGATCCGGTCCATAATTACGTATTGAGTATTTTTTAGACTTATGGATCTCTGTTTGAGTCTGGGTCCTACCGGCCAAGACCAGATCGAGGACCCAAAGTATTTGAATTTCATTTTTATGCATATAAGGTATATAAGTTATTAAAGATATGTTTTCGATATTACGGATATTTTGTAAGTTTTAACTTTGTATTTTTGGTTTTGGTTTCCATTAAAATTTCAATTTTAAAATTGTTATTTGGGTATTTTGATAAAAAATTAGGTATTTTCCGGTTCTTCGGGTCAGATTCAAGTAAAGTTTCGAGATTTTAGAGTATTTAAATATTATTTGTTTTTTTTGGGATTTTTAGGTTTTTTGTGGTTCATGTATTTTCAGGTATTTCAAACCTTTTTAGGTTCTAAATGTTGATCTAGATCCATTACAGTCCACAATTTTTACAGTAATTTAAATTATGGACATGAATCCACCTGAACCCGAACCTATCTGAATCCAAACTTGATAATTTCAAATACTTAGTTAACTCCAAATGTCTAGGATCGAAGGACACGGATCCAAAAGCAACAATTTGTATCCAATTTGGAGGCCCAAGGACCATGCTTATTCTCTCATTATATTTTGTGTGCATTTTATAAGAGTTACATTTATAGACTTATTGAGACTTAAAATTTACTATCAACTTTTTTGGCTAATTTAACAATATAAATTTATAGGGTTTTTAGTAATTTTTAAAACTTATATTAAATAATAAAGGTTTATTATAAATACTGTTTCATAAGAACTAATGAATGTAATATATATATATATATATATATATATATAATTTTGTATTTAATATATGGTTTGTTAAAGTGTTTCTTTATCAAATTTTGAATTTTAATATTTGGACTTATATCATTTAAGATGACACTAGATCCTAACCCACGCAACCGCGTGAGTTCATTTTTTATTTTTTATTTTTATTTTTATTTGTATTACATGTTATATTGGGTACATAATCAGTGTTTTTAAATTTGACCGGACCCAAGATTGAACCGGAAAATCTGGTCACCTATATGTAATCCGGTTTGGTTTTAGAAAAACACAATTATATAAAAGAACTTATTTATGAAATTACCAAAAAAGAAAAAAATAGATTTATAGTAAGAAGGTAGAGAGAGATAGTAAGAATAAAGAGGAGAGAAGGTGGAGTTTTAGTTAGTTAATGAAATATATATATATATATATATATATATATATATATATATATTTATGGTCATTTGACCTAATTTCCTTATATAAAACACAATAAAAGCAGTAAAAAATCCTTAAAATCTTGAATTCAACTACTTGTTTGACCACTGGTTGATCTATCCAATAGATAATTTTAACTTTTTTTTTTCTTTAGATTTTTGTAACTATGTTAGTAAAATTTTTTTGTATTCTATATAAAAAAATAGGTTTTTATTTCTTTACAATCATCTTCCTCTATTGTTGACTTTGTTTTTCTTTCTATTTTTTATGTCGTTTGATTTTTTGTTTATCGTGAATCTTACTACAACTTGAATTCTGTAATTTTGTTTTTTACTTGTCATTTCTAGATTTATTTTCAAAAATAAAATATTTCTTGTATTTTAAATATATAATATATTATTATGTAACTAAATTAATTAATTTATTAACATATGGTTCACCTGCAATCGATATAAGTGGTAAACAATTTGATTATTCGATATAAGTGGTGAAGAATTTTTGTATAGGCATTTTACATAAATTTTTCTAATATTTTAGGTTGATTCGCAAAGCAAGGAACAAAAATTAATTTAGAAGAAAATTAGGTGATTAATAATATGTAATATT